CTTCACCAGTGTATGTTCTTGGGGTCTTTCTCAAAAATAAATTGGCTGTAAATATGTGGATTTATTTCCTTGTTCTCTTTTCTGTTTTATTGGTCTTTATATCTTTTTTTATAACAGTAATGTGCTGTTTTGGTTACTGTAGCTTTGCAGTATTTTTTGAGGTCAGGTAGTGTGATGCCCCCAGCTTGGTTCTTTTTGCTCAAAACTGCTTTGGTTTTTGGGGTCTTTTATGATTCCATACAGATTTTGGGATTATTTCTTCTGTTTCTATGAAGAAGGTCATTGCTATTTTCATTGGATTGCATTGAATCTGTAGATCACTTTATGTAGTATGGACATTTTAACAGTATCAATTTTAATCCATGAACATAGGCTATCTTTTCATTTATATCCTCTTCAATTTTTTTCATTAATGTTTTATAATTTTCATTATAGAGATATTTCACCTCCTTGGTTAAATTTATTCCTAGGCAGTTTTTTAAAATGGAATTGCTTTCTTGATTTTTTTTCAGATAGTTTGCTAGTGTTGTGTAAAAATGCTACTGATTTTTATTTGTTTATTTTGTATCCTGCAACTTTACTGAATTTGTTTACTAGTTTAATAGTTTTTTGGTAGTTTCTACAGGATTTTTCTTTATATAAGATTATGTCTTCTGTAAACAAAAACAATTTGATTTCCTCCTTTCCAATTTGAATACCGTTTCTCTTTCTCTCGCCTTATTATTGAATAAAAGGCTGAATAAATTACTGAATATTAGGCTGAATAAAAGTATTGAAAGTGGTCATCCTTGTCTTGTTCCAGATCTTAAGAGGAAAAGCTTTCAACTTTTTCTTGTTCAGTATGATGTTAACTATGGGTTCGTCATACGTGGCTTTGTGTTGAGGCACAATTTCTTCCATACCTAATTTGTTGAGAGTTTTTATCATGAAGGTAGATAGATTGGTTGGTTGGTTGGTTGGTTGATTGATTGAGAGAGACAGAGTCTTGCTGTCACCCAGGCTAGAGTTCAGTGGCACAATCTCAGCTCACTGTAACCTCCACCTCCTGGGTTCAAGCGATTCTCGTGCCTTAGCCACCCAAGTGGCTGGGATTGCAGGTGTGCGCCACCACACCCAGCTAATTTTTGTATTTTTAGTAGAGATGGGGTTTCACCATGTTGGCCGGACTGGTCTAGAACTAACCTCAAGTGATTCACCCACCTTGGCCTCCCAAAGTGCTGAGATTACAGGCGTGAGCCACCATGCCTGACCTGTATGTTGAATTTTATCAAATGTTTTTTCTGCATCTATTGAAATGATCATATGGTTCTTGTCCTTGATTCTGTTGATGGGATAGATCGTGTTTATTGATTTGCCTATGTTGAACCATCCTTTCATCCCTTGGATGAATCCCACTTGGTTATGGTAAATGATGTGTTTAATGTATTGTTGAATTCCATTTGCTATTATTTCATTGAGGATTTTTGCATCTGTTCATCAAGGATATTGGTCTGTGGTTTTCTTTTTTGTTGTGTCCTTGGCTGGTTTTAGTATCTGGGTAATGCTAGCCTTACAGAATGATTTTGGAAGATTTCTCTCTTCAATTTTTTGAATACTGTGAAAAGAATTAGTATTATTTAAATGTTTGGCTGCCTAGTGCTGGCCTGAGCTCCCAGGAGCTGTCTGGTGGCCCTGGTGATGGCCCCTGAGGCTACAGCCCCCATTGCCAGCCCAGCTTGGCTCTCTCCTCTGTCCTGTCACCCTATCCCCACTCCCCTGGTGGCCTGACTCCCACTCCTTGGTGGCCCCATCCCCCGGTTCCTCACGATATGGTTTTTACTTCTGTGGATTTAATAAAAACTTCACCAGTTAATAAATAAATAAATAAATAAATAAAATAAAATAAAATAAAATAAATGTTTGGTAGAATTCAGCCATGAAGCCATCAAGTCTTGGGCTTTTCTTCCGTGGGAGGCATTTTATTACTGATTCAATGTCATTCTTTATTGGTCAGTTTAGGTTTTCTGTTTCTTCATGGTTCAGTTTTGATAGTTTGTATATGTTCAGGAATTTAGCCATTTCCTCTAGGCTTTCCAATTTGTTGGCATACCGTTGTTTATAATAGTCTCTTATGATACTTTGTGTTTTTGTGGTATTAGTAGTAATGTCTCCTTTTATCTCTGATTTGAGTCTCTTTTTTTTTTCTTAGTCTACTATAGATTTGTTGATTTTGTTTAGTCACTTTATTTCTGTTCTTCTGGTCTGTTTTATTTTCTTTGTTCTGCTATTTTGGGGTTTCGTTTATTGTTTCCTAGTACCTTGAGATACATCAGGTTATTTGAGATCTTTCTACTTTTTTTCTTTTTGAGACAGAGTTTCACTCTGACCTCTAGGCTAGATTGCAATGGCACAGTCTTGGCTCACTGTAACCTCTGCCCCCTGGGTTCAAGTGATTCTTATGTCTCAGCCTCCCGAATAGCTGGGATTACAGAAGTGCACCATCACACCCGGCTAATTTTGGTGTTTTTAGTAGAGACCACCTTTGGCCATGTTAGCCAGGGTGGTCTTGAACTCTTGGCCTCAAGTGATCTGCCTGCCTCAGCCTCCCAAAGTGCTGGGATTATAGGCATGAGCCACTGCACCTGGCAGTCTTTCTACTTTTTTGATGTTTATTGCTGTAAACTTTACTCTTAGAACTTCTTTTGCCATATCCATAGATTTGGGTATGTCGTGTTTCCATTTTCATTTTTCTGAAGAAATTTTTTAATTTTTTAATTTCCCTGTTGTTCAGGAGCATGTGTAGTTTTCAAAGTTCCTGCTGTTACTGAATTCTAGTTTTATTCCGTTGTGGTCAGAAAAGATACTTGATATTATTTTGATTTTTTTTTTTTTGAGACAGAGTTTTGCTCTTGTTGCCCAGACTGGAGCACAATGGTGCAATCTCAGCTCACTGCAACCTCCGCCTCCCGAGTTCAAGTGATTCTCTGCCTCAGCCTCCCAAGTATCTGGGATTACAGGTGCCTGCCACCATGCCTGGCTAATTTTTATATTTTTAGTAGAGATGGAGTTTCACCTGGGCAAGCTGGTCTCAAACTCCTGTCCTCGGGTGATCCTCCTGCCTCAGCCTCCCAAAGTGCTTGGATTACAGGTGGGAGTCCCCTGCCTGGCATGATTTTGATTTTTTTCTTTTTTAAATTTGTTGAGACTTGTTTTGTGACCTAACATATGGTCCATCATGGAGAGTGTTCCATATGCTGATGAGAGGAATGTGTGTTCTGTGGCTGTTGGAAGGAATGTTCTGTAAATGTGTGTAAGGTACTTTCGGCCTAGAGTGCAGTTTAAATCCAATGTTTCCTTAACTGATTTTCTGTCTGACTGATCTGTCCATTGCTGAAAGTGGGATGTACCATTCTCCTACTATTGTTGTATTGCATTCTGTGTCTCCCTTTAGGCCTAATAGTATTTGCTTTATATATTTGTGTGCAGTATAGTATTGGGTGCATAGACATTTAAAATCATTACATCTCTTGCTCAGTTGACCCCTTTGACCTTTGTTTCTTTTTTATGTTTTTTTACGTAAAGTCTATTTTATCAAAATGCAGCCAATCCTCTTCCTTTTTTGGTTTTAATTTGCATGGATTATTATTTCTCATCCCTTCACTTTCAGTCTTAGTATGTCCTTTCAGGTGAAGTGAGTCTCTTGTAGGCAACACAGAGTTGGATTTTGTTTATTGTTTTTTCATCCGTTTAGCCACTATATCTTTTCATTGAAGAATTTAATCTATTTACATTTAAGGGTATTATTGATACATAAGGACTTACTCCTGCCATTTAGTTAATTGTTTTCTGTTTGCTTTGCATATTCTTTATTCTTTTCTTTCTCTTATTGTTTACCTTTGTGGTTTGGTGATTTTTCTAGTGATAAGGTTTGATTTATTTCTCTTTCTCATTTGTGTATCTGCTGTAGTTACTTTTTTGTGGTTACTGTGAGTTTACATTAAACATCTTATAGTTATGATAGTGTTTTAAGCTGATAATAACCTTGATCTCATAAAATATTTTTGACTTTTACCCTTCCCCCACAACTTATGATTTTGTTAATTTATATCTTTTTATATTGTGTGGTCCTTAACAACTTTTAGTTATAATTACCATTAACCATTTTTTACTTTTAACCTTAATAATGGAGATTTGCAAGAATATATTCCACAGTTATAGCAATAGAGTTTTCTGAATTTGGTCAGTAATTTACCTCTATCAGTGAGATTATATTTTCATATGTTTTCATGATAGTAATTATACTTTTGCTTTCAGTCGAAGCAACCCCCATAAGAATTTCTTGTAAGGCTATTCTAGTGGTAATAAATTATTGCAGCTTTTGCTTGTCTGGGAAAGACTTTGTTTTCCTTTCATTTCTGAAAGATAGCTTTGCTAGTAGTTTTTATCTTTCAGCACTTTGAATATATTATCCCATTCTCTACAGGCCATTTCTTTCTTGGCATGTACAGGTTTTCTGAGAAATCTGTTGATAGAAATCTGCTGGGTTCCCTTACATGTGACTTGATCCTCTTCTCTTGCTGCTTTTAGAATTCTCTGTGTCTGACTTTGAATGGCTTTATTATATTGTACCTTGGAGAGAGGACCTCTTTGCATTGAGTGTGTTTAGTGTCCTGTTAATTTCATGGATCTGGATACCCATATTAAAATCATATCACTATGACTGATATTTGGCTGTGGTCCTAGATTGTCTCAAATAGGTAACAGTTCATGAGATTTTATTAAGATTATTATATGCAACTGTATGCTGATGTACATAACATTAAATGCTTTATTATAAAATTTTAAATTAAAATAAGCATAGTTATGAGCTACAGTATAGCAATATGCTTTTTTCTTTTTCACTCATCTTTTAGTATCATTGGGTTTTCTTAACCTGAATATAGGATTTTAATTCGTACGTTATTTTTATATAAGGAAAATAAATTTTTACTGTTTGTTTTTCATTTCTCTTCCCTACCTAGAAACAGTGGAAAGAACTTTCTAAGGAAGACTTATCTCCTGCTTTTGATCATTCACCAAACAAAATAACGACTGAAAAATACAATGGAAACAGAATAGGTCGAGAAGAAGAAAAACTGACAGGTGACCGATGTACAGGACTTTCCTCTAAAATGCAAGATACAATGGAGGAGAACAGTGAGAGGTAAGCTTTCTATAAATACATGCTGAAAGATGAGGCTTTTTTATTTTAAAAATAAATTTTATGGGGCCAGGTGCCATAGGATTTCGGGTATGTAATTTTTATGTTAGGAGAATACAATCACACCTGTAATCCCAACACTTTGGGAGGCTGTGATGGGAAGATCACTTGAGTCTAGGAGTTTGAGACCAGCCTTGGCAACATAGTAAGACCTTATCTCTACAAAAAAAATAAACAAAACTAGGCAAGTGTGGTGATGCGAGTCTGTGGTCCCAGCCACTCCAGAGAGTGAAGTGGAAGGAATGCTTGAGCTGTGGGGAGCTGAGACAGCACCACTGCACTCCCACCTAGGTGACAAAGCAAGACAGTGTCTCAAAAATAATAATAATTTAATAAATAGATTATGTGGATATGAAATAATATAGGCCCTTAATTTGTTGAATTAATGTAACCTTTTTTTTTTCTCTGTCACCCATGCTGGAAGTTCAGTGGCACAATCTCAGCTCACTGCTCCACCTCCTGGGTTCAAGTTATTCTCCTGCCTCAGCCTCCCGAGTAGCTGGGAATACAGGTGTGTGCCACCACACTTGGCTAATTTTTGTATTTCTAGTAGAGATAGGATTTCGCCATGTTGGCCAAGCTGGTCTTGAACTCCTGACCTCAGGTGATGCACCCACCTTGGCCTCCCAAAGTGCTGGGATTACAGGCGTGAGCCACCATGTCTGGCCAAATTAATATAACCTTTGTTTCTTAACCTGAGAGTATTTAGGTAGTATATGATGAATGATGACACAGGTGTTCTCAAGGAGCTTTCAGTTGTATAAAAAGCCAATACTTACAAACGAAACTAGTTCGAAAATCCTTTAAAATAATAATGATTAAGTACAAAAGTTAATATAAGTAGGTGCTAAAATATATGTATGGTATAGAAAATAAGTAGTATGAATGCCTGCCATTTGTACAGTTACAGAGTTTTTGTAATACAGTTATAATGTAACTGATAATACGCCTTTAATAAAACATTTAAATATGTAAGCTTAATTTCCATTACTGGAGGAAGAAAAAGGCGTTTTTTAAAAATCCATATGAATGTGCCATCTATTCAGAATTTTAAGTTACAACTACATTTTTAGGACTGTCTCTCACACATTACGAAGCTGGTAACCTGATACAAGTCACTTAGCAAAGTGAATGAGCCTTTTGTTTCCTCTCTCCTGCATCTCTGAGTAACTTTTCTTTTCTTTTTGCAAAACATACTTCTTATTGTGGGGAATTTTATCTTGTGGTTATATTTGTTAGATTGGAGTGAAAATAGTTATATACATTATAGCTTCACTGCTCTATTTTCCTAATATAAAAATTATTAAATACCTGAAATTTTATAAATGCTAACATATTCCAATATATATTACATGTGATATTATAGTGGAAGAGTTTATTATGACTTAGCAATGTTATTCCTAATTTTTGACCTCAGTGGTTTTATTTTTTATTTATTTATTTTGAGACGGATTTTCACTCTTGTTGCCCATGGCTGGAGTGCAATGGCGCGATATCAGCTCACCGCAACCTCCGCCTCCTGGGTTCAAGCCATTCCTCTGTCTGAGCCTCCTGAGTTCCTGGGATTACAGGCATGCACCACCACACCCAGCTAATTTTTTGTATTTTTTAGTAAAGACAGGATTTCTCCATGTTAGTCAGGCTGGTCTCGAACTCCTGACCTAAGGTGATCTGCCTGCCTCCGCCTCCCAAAGTGCTGGGATTACAGGCATGAGCCACTGCCCCCAGCCCAGTAGTTTTAGACTACAGAAGAAAGCATAATTTTTTTTGGTTCCTTTTTTCATCTTAAATAGGATACCTTTAAATCAGGAAATAATAGTTTTAAATTACCTTAGCTTTTTCAGTATTTAGACTTTTAGATTCTTAGTAGTATTGTCTTTTCCCCCCTTTTATCTAGTACTATCTGCAGAATTAAATGAAAAAATGGCTTGATGACTTAAATGGTATTCTTAGTATTTCACAAGTGTTGAGTTTTAATCCACCAAGATTCAGACCAACCATATTAACAGTCTCAATGACTTAAATTACTCATCCAAGCTTGGCAATACAGAGGAGACTAGTAAAGCCACTCAGGAGTTATAGAATGATTGCAAAAGGCTATTTTATGGGATCTGTGTGTGTGTTTGTGCCTGTACATGTTTTCGCATGTGGTGGTGGTGGTGGTGGTGGTGGTGGTGGTTTCTTCTTTCTCTTTTTTCATTTTCTGTCTGATGAGACCAGTGCATATTTGAAAGCAGAGGAGTCCCAACAGGAAAGTCAGGATTCTAAGCTGAGAAGACTGATTGCAAGAACAAGGTTACAAAAATAGAGAAGAGGAGGCCGGGCACAATGGCTCACACCTGTAACCTTAGCACTTGGAGACGCCAAGGCAGGTGGATCACTTGAGGTCAGGAGTTAGAGATGAGCCTGACCAGCATGGCAAAGCCCTGTCTCTGCTGAAAGTACCAAAATTAGCTGGGCATGGTGGCACATGCCTGTTTTCCCAACTACTTGGGAGGCTGAGGTGGGAGAATCACTTGAACCCACGGGATTGGAGTGAGCCGAGATCACACCAGTACGCTCCAGTCTGGGCAAAAGAGCAAGACTCTGTTTCAGAAAAAAAAAAAAAATGTAAAAGAGGAGCATAGGATCAGGGGTGTGAAATAAAGGTTGCTCTGAACAGTTTTATCGATCAGTCCCAGTAATTTTTAGTACCTATAGGTAACATTGCATTAAAGAGCCTAATAAAATAGTCTATCGAAAGAATTTCAACTTTCAAAAGAAATAGAACACAGTACTTTCTTGTATTCATTTTCATTGTTGAGTATACTCCAAAGCAGTGTTTTTCAAATCGAAGGTTGAATCCCATAGGCGCGAAGTTGATTGGATTATAAACATTTTTTAAAGAAGAATATAGAGTGGAGTAAAAGAGAAATTATCAGCATTTCACAAATAGTAACTATGAATTTAACAGATGCTGGCAAGGTTGTAGAGAAAAAGAAATGCTTATACACTGTTGGTGGGAGTGTAAATTAGTTGAACTGTTGTGGAAGACATTGTGGGGATTCCTCAAAGAACTAAAAATAAATACCATTCAACCCAGCAATCTCATTACTGGGTATATACCGAAAGGAATATAAATTATTGTACTGTAAAGACACATGCACGCGTATGTTCACTACAGCACTGTTCACCATAGCAAACACGTGGAATCAACTTAAATGTCCACCAGTGATAGACCTCATAAAGAAAATGTGGTACATATACACTTTGGAATACTGTGAAGCCATAATAAAGAATGAGATCATGCCCTTTGTAGGGACTTAGATGGAGCTGGAGGCCATTAATCCTTAGCAAACTAATGCAGGAACAGAAAACCAAATACCACGTTTTCACTTATAAGTGAGAGCTAAATGATGAGAACACATGGACACAGAGAGGGGAACAACACATGCTAGGGCCCTATCAGAGGATGGAGGGTGGCAGGAAGGGGACAGTCAGGAAGAATAACTAATGGCTTCTAGGCTTAGTGATGAAATAATCTGTGCAACAAACCCCCATGACACAAGTTTCAAACTTATGTAACAAGCCTGCACATGTACGTACCCCTAAACTTAAAGTAAAAAAAGAATTTTCAGCCTGTTTTATATATGTATGTGTGATGTATAAATTCCATATATTTACATATACATTGTATACATATGTCAGTGTGTGTGTGAGGTTACTCTGCTGTGATGCTATTTCTTACTGTAGGTTACAGTCTGAGTTCAAAAAGCCAGTATTCTCAGTTATATATAGTACAACCCAGAAACTCAGATCACTGAGAGTGAGAAACAACTTGAACACATGAGAAGTCTGGGGCAGGCACAGTGGCTCATGCCTGTAATCCCAACACTCAGGCTGAGGCGGATGAATCACTTGAGCCTGGCAGTTCAAGACCAGCCTGAGCAACATGGCAAACCCCATCTCTACAAAAAATACAAAAATTAGCCAAATGTATTGACCCATGCCTATACTCTCTCAGCTATTAGGGAGACTGAGGTGAGAGGATTACTTGAGCCCAAGAGATTGAGGCTGCAGGGAGCCATGAGCACACCACATGATCTTTCATAGCCAAGGGTCCACAGGAGGCATTCACATTGGTTAATGGCCTAAATTGCATAAATAGGTGGGAAAACCTGGGCAGGTCCCACTTGGTAAGTCATTACACAGGCATAATTTCCTTAGGCCCAGCTAGGGAAGACAGGATTTTATTTTATCACAAATTGAAAGTAGTCTGTCCTTCTCCTGGAATTGTGTTTTTAAATTAGATAAAGGCATGTCTTGGTATTTGTCTTTAGTCCATTCCTGAATTATATAGTACACTTTTGGAAAACAAGAATCTCTGTTCCATTCTTTTAAATGAGAAAAATAGTGTGTTCTCAGTCCAACCAGAAACCATAACCAGTTCCCCCAAATATAGTACAAAACCTTTTAAACTGTATAGCATTTAAAACACTAATTAAATCATATAAGACTTAATGGACTCATTATTGGGCTTATATGGTAAATGACAAAATGCTAGATACAAATTATAATTACCTTCTATACCACAGTGAAAATTTTTTAAAAAATGAAATAATATGTTAAAGAGTGTATTTAAATTGGAACCTTGTTAATGATACCTCCAGGCTCCTGTCAAAAGCTAATAAAAGGACCATGGAAGGCTAACTCCCCTCTCTATTTTTATACCTATTTTGCCTACACTTGAACACAAATGTTTTCACTAGCAGGTGCATGCATATTTGTGATACTGAATTTTCAATTCAGAGAGTGAATTCTGGGTAAGAATTTTTGCAAGTCATCATAGCAAATATTTTCAGATGGAGTTTTAGACAGCCAGGGATACCTCTTTACATATAATAACAAAAAGTGAAAAAGACATGAGAAAGCACAGTAAGATGTGCAAAGATAGCAAAACACAGTCCATCCTTAAGTTGTTGCAGAATATATTATAAAGATAAAACAGGTACCCAAGTTAGCACATTATTAGTAAATTATACATTACTGACTGCAAATTAAATGCCATACGAATAGAAGGGCTAGAGTGGGTGGAGCAAGGAGAATTGAAGAGTAGAATTGAAATGAGAGGACAGGAGAGAAGGGAAGGTTTCTATTTTAGTGGGGAACAAATTTGGAAAACAGCAAAAAATGGCAAGAACAAAGTTCTGCATAGTAGGAGAATATTGGCAAGTGCTTCCATGGACATGTGTTCTCAGTTCTCTTGAGTACATATCTAGGAGTGGAATTGCTGGGTCATATGGTAGCTCTATGTTTAACTTTTTGAGGAGCTGTCAAACTTTTCTACAGCAGCTGAACTATTTTACATTTCCACTGACAATCTCCTGGGTAGAGAAGGTTCCAGTATACCAAAAAGTATAACATTGATTAAATAAAATATTCTGATACATAGTTCAATTCAGATTTCTACTGATGTCTAAAAGGTTCACCATACAGCTTTTTAAATAGTTTATGGAGATAAATTTACATATCATATTTACTCTCATTCCAAGTATACAGTTCAATGGATTTTAATTATTTATCAAACTGTGTAGCTGGCAACACAATCTAATTTTAGAACATTTTTTTGATTCCAACTTCTGTGGCTATTTAAAAAAATATATTTCAAAGAGGCCGGGCACATTGGCTCACGCCTGTAATTCTAACACTTTGGGAGGCCGAGGCAGGTGGATCACGAAGTCAAGAGATGGAGACCATCCTGGCCAACATGGTAAAACCCTGTCTCTACTAAAAATACAAAAATTAGCTGGGCATGGTGGCTAGTGCCTGTAGTCCCAGCTACTCAGGAGGCTGAGGCAGGAGGACTGCTTGAACCTGGGAAGTGGTGGTTGCAGTGAGCCGAGATCGCACTACTGCACTCGAGCCTGGCGCCTGGTGACAGAGCAAGACTCTGTCTCCAAAAAAAAAAAAAAAAAAAAAAAAAGTCAAGATTAATCAAGGATCGATATTGTATTTGGTTGATGTGATTCTTTGGTCTCTTTTAATCTGGAACTGTTCCCTACCTTTTTCTTCCTTGCTTGACATTTGTGTTTTTGAAGTTTCTATTACCAGTTATCTTTTAGAATGCCCCATACAATGCATTTAATTATTGTTTATCATAAATTCAGATTAAACATTTTGACCAGGAAAAAGGTAGTCTCAATGTAGGAGACATTGAAGAGGCATTTGAGATTTTTTTTTTTTTTTTTTTGAGACAGAGTTTCGCTCTTGTTACCCAGGCTGGAGTGCAATGGCACGATCTCGGCTCACCGCAACCTCCGCCTTCTGGGCTCAGGCAATTCTCCTGCCTCAGCCTCCTGAGTAGCTGGGATTACAGGCACGCACCACCATGCCCAGCTAATTTTTTGTATTTTTAGTAGAGACGGGGTTTCACCACGTTGACCAGGATGGTCTCGATCGTGATCCACCTGCCTCGGCCTCCCAAAGTGCTGGGATTACAGGCTTGAGCCACTGCGCCCGGCCCTTTTTTTGTATTTTTAGTAGAGATGGGGTTTCACCATGTTGACCAGGATGGTCTCGATCTCTTGACCTGGGATTACAGGCTTGAGCCACCGCGCCCGGCCGCATTTGAGATTTTTAAGCACCATTGTGCACTAGGCCCTGTAACCAAAAAGAAAAAATTCTTTAAATCAAGCTACATGTCCAGGAGTATGCTCTAGAAAAAGTACCATGTCAGTAATGTTTAATTTGAGGGCAGGGTTAAAGCTGGTTAAACTTTTGCTGTAATACAGAAAAGTAAAAAGAGGGGATGGAAGAAATAGTAACCTATATGTTACCATTGGCTGGTTTTTTGTGGGGTTTTTTGTTGGTTGGTTGGTTGGTTGGTTGGTTGGTTGGTTTGTCGGTTTGTCGAGAGGCAAGATCTTGCTATATCTCACAAGCTGGACTTGATCCTCCCGAGTAGCTGAGTGGCATTATTATTTATGCAGAACCAAGACCAAGTATTTTGGGTGTTGGAGAGTTTCCATTGAAACATAATTTCTGAGACCAGGTGCTGTGGCTTATGCCTGTAATCCCAGCACTTTGGGAGGCTGAGGCAGGCAGATCACTTGAGATCAGGAGTTCGAGACCAGCCTGGTCAACATGGTAAAACTTTGTTTTACTAAAAATACAAAAAATTAGCCAGGCATGATGGTGCATGTCTGTAATCTCAGCTACTTGGGAGGCTGAGGCAGGAGAATCACCTGAACACGGAAGGCAGAGGAGGTTGCAGTGAGCCAAGATTGCACCACTGCACTCCAGCCTGGGCAACAGAGCAAGACTCCGTCTCAAAAAAAAAAAAAAAAAAAAAAAAAGAATATTGAGACTTTAACTTTCATTATTCCAGTGTTCAAGTAGGGTAAAACCTATGTGGATGTGTATGGCTTTATTTGCACCTAGATCCTCTGTGTTAGAGTACTCAAGTCCTGCTCTGTGTGCACTTCCTTTTACTTGTTTCTATTTCTTCATAGTGCTCTACGGAAGCGTATTCGAGAGGACAGAAAGGCCACCACAGCTCAGAAGGTGCAGCAGATGAAACAGAGGCTAAATGAGAATGAACGAAAAAGAAAAAGGTGGTTATATTGGCAACCTATTCTCACTAAGATGGGGTTTGTGTCAGTCATTTTGGTTGGCGCTTTTGTTGGCTGGACACTGTTTTTTCAGCAAAATGCCCTATAAATAAACAATTAATTTTGCCCAGCAAGCTTCTGCACTAGTAGCTGTCAGTGCTACATTAATCATAGAGGTTTGTTTGCAAATGCCTCATATCCCAAAAATGGTGCAGTAGAATAGACATCAGCCAGATAAGTGATATTTACAGTCACAAGCCCAACATCTCAGGACTCTTCACTGCAGGTTCCTCTGAAACCTAAATTGTAAATGGCTGTCTAAAATAAAGACATTCATGTTTGTTAAGAACTGGTAAATTTTGCAAGCTGTATTCATACATGTCAAATACAGTATTTCACCTGACCAACATTGAGAAATCCTTTATCACAGGATTTGTTTTTGGAGGCTATCTGGATTTTAACCTGCACTTGATATAAGCAATAAATATTATGGTTTTATCTACGTTATTAATGGAAAGAAAATGACATTTAATGTGTGTAATGTATAATGTACTGTTGACATGGGCATCAACACTTTATATTCTTAACCATTTCAGGGTAAATATATTTTATAAGTATCTATTTAATCTTACTTTTGTAGTTAACTGTACTTTTTAAAAGCTCAATTTGAAAAATCTGTTACATAAAAAAATAAATTGTATGTTGATTCAATTGTACTGGATACATTTTCCATTTTTCTAAAGAGAAGTTTGATATGGGCAGGTAGAAATCGGAATAAGCAATTTCTACTATATATTGCATTTCTTTTGTTTTACAGTTTTCCCCATTTTAAAAAGAAAAGCAAACAAAGAAACAAAAGTTTTTCCTAAAAATATCTTTGAAGGAAAATTCTCCTTACTGGGATAGTCAGGTAACAGTTGGTCAAGACATTGTAAAGAAATTGGTTTCTGTAAATCCCGTAATTAATATGTTCATTTTTCATGAAAATTTTAATGTAATTATCCTAATTTATAGTTGGGGTAAATCATGATTTAGGAAGTAAAAGTAAGAAGCAGTATTTTATGATTCATGATTTGAGTTTACTAGACTGAAGTTTTGAAGTAAACATTTTTTAGGTTCTTTCTACTTCAATAAATAGTATAATGATATGCAAACCTTACATTGTCATTTCAGCTTCCTAATGAGTATTTTTAAAAGCATACTGTTTGATGAATTTAACTGCTCATTTGAGTGCTAGTTTTCTTCAGATTTCAACATTCCATTCAGTGTTTAATTTGTCTTAAACTTGAAATTGTTGTTATAAATTTAATTGCTAGGAGGCATGGATAGCATATGATACTATGGATAGCATACATTATTTCAGTGGTTTTCAAACTATGCTAATTAGATGTCCGGGAGGGTCATCAAGAGGTTACTTTCAACCACAGCATCTCTGCCTGTCTCTTTTTATATGCCACAGTAAGATTTCTGCATAAGGCTTAAGTATTTTAAAGGGGGCAGTTATCATTTTAAAACAGTTTGAAAACCACTGATACAGATATTTTGAATTGATTTGCATAGTCTCCTTGAATGTGTTACATTATGCTGAAAGCATGAAAGCAGGATGTAGGCAGTACTACATATTAAATAAGATTTCTATAACATGTGCCTGTGTCCTGATTCAGTATTACTGTGTCCTGTAACCTTGAAATGGAGAGGAGGTAAGAGGGACATTTTCTTATGTCTGTCTGCATTAAACCTGTGTTGAGGCATCCAAGACCCTTACATTTTAGGTGGTTACTGGTTTAAAATCTCTTTCCAGTTTGCATTGGTTTGTCTTTGCTAAATACAGTATGTTACTCTGCAAGTCAAATACAGCTAGGCCTTAGGACATTTCCAGTTGAAGCTAGCCTTGCTTTCGGTTCACAGGTTAGGACTTGAGGAAGCCAGTGCCAGGGAGGACATGCCTCGCCCCTCTGCTAGCTGAATGCGCTTCGTCGGCTTACGCTTTGCTTTCTGTCCTTCTGGGTGGTGGCTGTTGCACATATTTTTAAAACCACATTCAGTGCAGTGAACACTTGTAAGGTTAGTCATCTTTCCTTCTCCAAGCAGATCCTTGAGAAGGGCATTGACAGTGGATGCTTTAAATAGTGTTCAGTTTTTACCAGTGATAATCTATTTCGCTAGATGCCATGAAAACACATGACATCGTGTTGTGCCCATGATCACCATCCTGACTTTTTATTAAATGAGGTGTGCTGGTCAGGAGACAAACAGACATGGCTGACTTCCCTGGTAATGGCCAGAGAAAGAAAGTTAGTAATTCTAGATGGGTTCTACATCTTAAAAAAGTAAAAAAGAAAAAAAAAACTTGTTGTATCCTTAGGTCCTCATAATATTAAATATTTTCTGATTTTAACAGATTTTAAGGGTCAGATACGTAGTTTGACTTGAATGAGATAGTGTTGCTTTTTGAATAGGTTAAGAAAGAAACATTTTTTTAAAACGGGACTTCTTTATTTTCAGGAAAGTTTATAATTCATACCTAGTTCATTTCCACTCACATCTATTTCTGCTAATAGATGGACAGCAACCTTTGATTTAATGGCATGTTCTCTGGCTACACCAACAATTTTATATTCCTTTCCAGAGTTAGCCAAGTATTTGTTTTGTGTTAGCTTGTGACTGATTTTTATCCATGCTTGCACATATATAGAATGTAAAAATATAATTCTGCATGTTTAATTTATCCATATAACAATGAAAATAATACCCATTTTCTGCTTTCTTAAAGGGTTAAAAAAAGTAACATGTAATAAGTACATGGAGGACTTTAGAGCAATATAAAAACCATTTTTTATGTTAGAGGAGACTTTATACATTTGTCAGGTTTTCTGCCTTTTGGTCCTTTATCTTCTTAGTCCATTTCATCGTTGTTTTAATATTTCTACCAAGGAATGAACAAGAAAAGAGAAAGGAATTTTTAAAAAATGTTTTAATTATTTTCTTTTAATAGTATGTTTCAGCAGAAGGGGTTCTGATTCTTAATATACACTTGCGCCTGTCGTCTTTGTCTCAAACTCAAGATTGGTGGTATGAATCAAAATGTATATTGGTTTAAAAGGTAGTTTAGGATTGCTTGAGCTCAGAAGATTGAGATCATCTGGGTCTCTACTTAAAAAAAATTAGCTGGGTGTGTTGGCATATGCCTGTAGTCCCAGCTACTTGGGAGGCTGAGGCAGGAGGATCACATAAACACAGAAGTTTGAGGCTGCAGTGACCTATGATGGAGCCATTGCACTCTAGCCTGGGTAATAGAGGAGACTTGTCTCTCTATATATATTTGTTTTTCTCTCTCTCTCTCTGTGTTGTGTGTAGAGCGTATACACACACACACAAAGATATATAAAATAGATATAAAAGATATATTAAAGATATAGTATCTGAAGATTTTTTTTTTTTTTTTTTTTTTTTGAGACGGAGTTTCGCTCTTGTTACCCAGGCTGGAGTGCAATGGCGCGATCTCGGCTCACCGCAACCTCCGCCTCCTGGGTTCAGGCAATTCTCCTGCCTCAGCCTCCTGAGGAGCTGGGATTACAGGCACGTGCCACCATGCCCAGCTAATTTTTTGTATTTTTAGTAGAGACGGGGTTTCACATGTTGACCAGGATGGTCTCGATCTCTTGACCTTGTGATCCACCCGCCTCGGCCTCCCAAAGTGCTGGGATTACAGGCTTGAGCCACCGCGCCTGGCCAAGAATTTTTTTTTAATATAGTCCATTATGAGCCAAATGTCATTAGGCATGTGACCAATTTCTTTCCATGTTCAGGCAAGAGTTCCAGTTGTATAAACATTCATTTATGTGTTTTTTCTAGTGGGTGCACACATGGGTTCTCAGTGATGTGTAGCCAGGGCGTAGATTCCTCTCAGACTATTGCGCCCTGTAGCCCTGCAGTGGGGGAGGTGTCTGGAGCCTGGCTGTGCTTGACGCACAGTGCATAGCAGAACAAATGCATAGCAGAAATGCCTGTTCTGCATTCACTTTTATACATCAACAACTAATAAAGTCTCGTTTACTTTTAAGAAGCCCTTATTTGGCTTTGGCATATTTAGATGGTAGGGACCTAGAATCTTATAAAGAAATTTTGAAAAACAGAAACATAGTATTTGTCCATAATTTAAAATACCAGGCATGGTTGTCACCTGTGTGGTTTACTTTGGAGTTGACCTGGTTCATTCATCTTTCTCCCCAGTTTGTTTGGTTTCAATTCCATTTTCCCATCTATCTTCAAAGCAGTGCCTATGGGACAACATCAAGAGCACCTAGAAACGCAGACACACTAGAAATTACAGCTGTCTTTGTTCTAGTGAATATGTATAAGGGTAACATGCCTTGGTGGAAAGCAGCTCAGGTTGTGTGGACTCCTCAATCCCTCCTCTACCAAGAGCTCACCAGTTCCAACACTGTACACTCAGCTGCTGTGTTCTGTGTGCCTGGTCCTAATATGGCCATATGTTGTTCATCCAGATTTGAGAATTTAAGCTTTTTTCACTCCTCTTTGGGTAGTGGTATTCAAGTAAGAACTTCTAGGAAAATAGTATGAGTTTGGTTATCTTTTCTTCCTCTGCAGGAGGAATTTTCTGAATATTTAGCACATTCAGATCGCTCCAAGAACAGCATTGAGCAGTGCTGCACACATGCTTTCTCCCAGCACTATTCTGAGAAATGGCTGTCTCCCCTGGCACCTGGGTTCTGGAAAGACTCATTATCCTTCAGGGAGGGGAGCCTTTTTCCTCACTGCCCTTGCTGAGCCTTTTCTCCTGCTGTGTGTTGTTTAGCCCAGCCCAGAGCCATCGCCAACTGTAAGAAGTGATGGATAGAAGTGTTTACTTGGTTGGTGAGGCCTTGTCTTTAATGGGTAACAATCTGACAAGGAAAACACTTCAGACTGACCAGGCCTGGCTTGGTAACTCACTCCTGTAATCCCAGTACTTTGGGAGCCTGAAGCTGGAGAATCATTTGAGCCCAGGAGTTCTAGACCAGCTTGGGCAACACGGTGAAATCCTGTCTCTATGTAACAAGAAAAAGAAAAGAAAAAAAATGTCCTGACCGTCTCTGGGCAATCCATCAGGATAATTAAAAGTTCAAACATTTGTTTTTGGTTTTGAGATAGAATTTTGCTCTTATTACCCAGGCTGGAGTGCAATGGCACGATCTCCCCTCACTGCAACCTCCACCTCCTGGGCTCAAGTGATTCTCCCACTTCAGCCTCCCAAGTAGCTGGGATTACAGGCGCATACCACCACGCCCAGCTCATTTTTATATTTTTAGTAGAGTCAGGGTTTCACCATATTGGCCAGGATGGTGTTGATCACTTGACCTTGTGATCCGCCCTCCTTGGCCTCCCAAAGTGCTGGGATTACAGGCGTGAGCCACCACTCCCAGCCCAAACTTTTGGACTCTATATTTTATTTTTTTAATTTATAATGGAAGGTGGGAATTGTGCAATTTGGTGAGGATGTTACAGAGACTACTTCAGGACTTCCTGGTTTTATGTTATACAGTATGTTCTGAGGAGCTATAAGAATTGCACAGGAATTTTTTTATTTGTATAGACCATTTTTTAAAGACACATCAAATTATTCTTTCTTGGGCTCTAATTTCGCATATTTTCCAGACACAGGTTGCTGTTGATACATCAAATTTCTACTATTAAAAACTTTAGTT